TGAAAGTGAAGAGGACTTAAAATACCTTCTGATGAAGATCAAAGACCACAACCTTTGGTATGGATTGTACCTCAATGTAAAGAAAACAAAAATCCTCACAACTGGACCAATGAATAATATCACGATACATGGAGAAAAGATTGAAGTTGTCAAAGACTTCATTTTGCTTGGATCCACTATCAACACTCATGGAAGTAGCAATCAAGAAATCAAAGGACATATTGTATTAGGTAAAACTGCTGCAGAACATCTCTTTAAAAAGTTCAAGAGCACAGTTGTCAATTTGAGGACTAAGGTGCACCCGGTATGTTCAATAGCTTCATATGCATGTGAAAGTTGGGCAGTGAATCAAGAAGACTGTAGAAGGTTGATGCATTTGAGTTTTGGTGTTGGAGAAGAATATTAAAGTAATTATGCTAGAAGAAGAACAACAACAAAAAATTTGTTTTGGAAGAAATATATCCAGAATGCATCTCGGAAGCCTGGATGGTAAAGCTTTGTCTCTCATACTTCAGAAATATTATCAGGAGGAACCAGTCCCTGTAGCAGTAGGACATTGTGCTTGTTAAAATAGAGGGTCAGCAAAAAGAGAAATACCCCAAAGGAGAGGTACTGGCACAGCATTAGCAGCAATGGACTCAAGGGTAACAAGGATTTTGAGGTTGGCACAGGACCGGGCAGGGTTTGGTTCTGTTGTGTGTAGGGTTGTTATGAGTCAGAACTGACTCCATGGCACGTAACAGCAGCAGCAACAATGCTATGTTATTTATATGAAATGTAATTCAAAACCACCAGTTAATTTATGAGAGAAAGTGTGTTTTGCTGTTAAGAAAAAAAATTTTTGTTGTTGTTAAGTGCTGTCAAGTTGGTTCCAACCCATAGCAACCCTGTATAGGGTTTCTGACGAGCAGCTGGTGAGCTTGAACCACTGACCTTGCAGTTCAAATCAACTTTGCAGTCCAATACATTAACAGCCTCGGAAACCCTGTACAGGGTCGCTATGAGTCGGAACCGACTCCACGGCACATAACCACCACCACCACCACATTAACCCACAGTGCTGTGCCTAGCAACTCATAAATTCAAGAGTGGGTCAAATTAGAAAATCAGGAGTTGAAATAAATCGCTAGTGAAATTATCTGTACCAGAGCCATGGGGGTGTAGTGGCCTATGCATTTGACTGTGAACCTTAAGGACAATGGTTTGAGACCACTAGCAGATCTAATGGAGAAGGATGAGGCTTTCCCGCTGTGAAGATTGACAATGTTGGAAATGCTATGCAGGGTCGCTGTGAGTTGGAACTAACACAAGGGTAATCAGCAGCAGCCATGAGGGTGTGGTTATGCATGGCTGCAGAAATCATCAGGACCCGGTGTTGGAGAACTTTATAATGGATGAAACATCTCACAATACTTGAGCTCTCTAACTAATGGGACAAGTACCTATTTCCATTTCTTAAAATGCATTGGGATATACACATTTTATAAGAATTAGTCTTGTGTGGTTGGGGGTGAAGAAGAATGTAGTCAAACTTCTAGGTTATACTAATTAAGAGTTAATAGAAAGTGTGATTTGTGTTGTTGTTGTTTTTAAGTGCTGTTGAGTCAGTTCTGACTCATCGCGACCCTATATAGGATTCTGGGGAACAGCTGGTTTGTTTGAAACACTGATCTTGTGGTTCAAACTGAGCTCAGGGTTCAGTGATTATCCTACAGCACCACACCAGAATGTGTAAGTGAATTCATTAAATTATACTGTTGTTGTTGTTATGTGCCGTGTTGTCAGTTCTGACTCGTAGCAACCCTGTACAGGGTTTCTGAGGCTGTCAATCTTTATGGGAGCAGAAAGCCTCATCTTTCTCCCGTGGAGCAGCTGGTAGTTTCGAACTGCTGACCTTGAGGTTTGCAGCCCAATTTGTAACCACTATGCTACCAGAGCTCCTTTTTAAATTATACGATGATGATACAATAAATGACATCCAGAAATGGGAAATTTTATAGGACAAACAATGTAATGTTTTGCAATGGCAAACAAACACATGGTCTAAGAAAGAGGGAGTGAGTGCTTACTATACAAGAAAAAGACTGGGTATATAAAAAATGGATACTAAAATGAACTGTAAATATAGATGAATATGTTAATTTATATGAACATAAACAAAGTCACACTAAGTTTTCTATAATCCTTGAAAGTCCCAGCCGCCTACCATACCTTGTGTCATGCAAGTATTGAGGTAATTGCTGAGCCAGCTAGAAATTGCTACCTCAAAGATCTTACAGCTGACTTGTGGAAACAGATTTTTATATAAAACAGGAAAGAAGTTAGTAGTTCTGGAAATGACTGTAGGATCCACAGTCAACTTTGAAGGTGTGAATATTTATCTGAACATCTATCCCTGACCCAATGTTTCCTCAGCTATTAAACAAATGACAAGTAATCTTTTGCTTGACATATGTGATTGCTAAGAGGACTAAATGAAATAATGTAGCTAAAGCATCTTGCTTTTAGTTTGGGAGCATGGTGGCTCCATACCTCAAGCACTGGACAGCGAACCACAAGGTCCATGGTTTGAGCCTGCCAAGCGCTCCAAGGGAGAAAGATGAGGCTTTCTGCTCCTGTGAAGATTGAAAGACTCAGAAACTCTATACAGGGTCACAATGACTCGGAACCAAGTGGACAGCACTTAACAACAACAACAAAGCATCTTGCAAATCTAAAGTAACCTTCATATTTAAAAAGGAAGAGATGTAATGATAACCACAGGGGATACGGTGGTGGTGGTTATGTGCAGTGGAGTCAGTTTGACTCATAGTGACCCCGTACAGGGTTTCCGAGACTGTAAATCTTTACGGGATCAGAAAGCCTCATCTTTCTCCCTGGAACAGCTAGTAGTTTTGAACTGCTGACCTTGCAGTTTGCAGCCCGATTCGTCACCACTTCGCTGCCAGAGCTCCTTACATGGGAAGAGACTGCATGCCACAGGCACTTAGTAGGACTTTATGCCCATTTCCCGGGAAGCTCAGAGTTTGAGTTTATTCCAGAGGGAAAGTCCTCAAGATCCCATTATGTTGTTCTAAGAATCTGCTTCAGCATCTGCCACTTAGGATGCTTGGTGGCATACAAAAAAAAAAAAAAAAAAA